CTTCTGTCTGAAATGAGCAAGTTGTGATGTCGGTCAAATGTCGGAGTCAAACGCAAAACAAGTTGTTGGAACGAACTGTCATGTTTTTAAATCCTCTCAGACGTAAATAGGGAAGCTGGCACCTGTTTTCCCCCAACTCGTCTAAACATTTCTCTCGTCTGTCTCTAAAACGTTTTCAATCTGTTCCAAAAACATTCTTTCTGTTTTTCTGACTTCTAGTGACCTCTTACGTCACAAAAACACACCCCTGTCTGGTCGATTTGACCAATCAGGAACTTCCCAAATGAACCGGAAATAGAACTCTTTAAATGTCGGTACTTCCTAGTTCAAACCAGCTCCAGAGCTTCAGTCGAGTTGCGGTCGAGTTTGGTTCGGAGAGCAAACCGAACAGAGAAGTGCTGGAGAGTTCAGGAGGTTCCCGACATGATCCGGAGTTCTTCCGAGTCTCGTGGGAATTATGCAATCTTCCACATCTGAGTGGAACTTCTGAAGGACTCCACTCATGTGAGTCCACTCGTGAGGTGAACTGTTGTTGATGAAGTTCCGCCACCACTCCGGACGGTTCTCTGCCATCCTACGGAGACGCTGGACCGGTAGCGTTAACTGGAACTCCGTATCCGCTGATTCATCTTCAGAGAGGTAACGAGTCGAGTTTACTACCGAAGCGTACCGAGGAAAGCTGGGTTCGAATGGAGGGTGCCATTCTGTTCAACACTTTCCCTCACACACCATCTCCCTCCCTCTAAACTTCATCTTTCCATCTTTAAACTTTTCTATCTGCCAGAAATTAATCCAGATATTTTTAGAAATGTCTGTTGTACAGCTTGAAGTGAGGAAAACCATCGCCGTATGGTTTTCTAATTGTACAGCTTGCTAACTAAGCCATGTTGTTATTTTTCAATTTGCCAAATTAATGTAAATGTTTGATGTTAAACTTTGATTCTGTTAATAAATGACCACATTCATTTGATGGGTCAAAGAAAATTAACGCCTCACGTTACATTTTATTAAATTCAATGCACGATATTATTCAGTCCAGAAAAATGAATGAATCCGTTTAATTTATGAATATATCACAGAATATGTTCATCTACAATTCCTTAAATACAGAACTTTACTAATTGGCTTTTATGTATGTGAATGTTTCTGTA